TCATAGTTGAGGTATGATGAAAATTACAGGCCTCTCTCATCTTTTTAAGTGGGAGAACTTGCACAATTGGTGGCTGACTAAATACTTTTTTGCCCCACTGTATGCCAAAATCAAGTGATCCAATGTATCTAAAGTATAATCAGAATGAATGAATAATAAATAAATAAATACCCACCACTATCAACTGATCTCTTGGAAGATTTTTTTGGGAGTACATTTCTAATTCCTTAGAGTTTCTCTGACATACACAAACCCTTCTCTTAAAATTTAGAAGAATAATACTTCATTTTGTTCATTGATTTTTGTATAGATCTTTTTTTGAACCAGAGAGAATAAGAGCTTCCAATGAATAACAGAAGTGGTATGTAATACATAATGATTATTCAACAATACTTTGCATCACATCTATCCTTTCAAGCCTATGTGCGTTTTTTTGGAAATGGTTTTTGTACCATATAGCACTCTCCAAATTCTTACAAATTGGAAAGTTACAAAAATACTGTTATGTCAATTCAAGGAGTCATGACTGGAATTGTGCATGGAGTTCTGTCTCTGCACCCTGTTTAGTGTCTCTCTTCCTACTAAAACTCAGGTAAAAGAAAAAAAAAACTGTGACTGAAGGAAAAGTAGTATTTGGAAATGCAGTTTATTCCCACCTTTATTTTTGGTTGCCTACTAGAAGTAGCAATCAGGGATAACCGGGGGGTGGGGGGAGGGAAGCTTTTAAGCTTTTCTTAAGTTCACAGGTTGACAGATGGGAAAGTTACTTTTCTCAGAGCCACTGATTTGGTAACATGTGGAATTCTGTGCGTTCTGTAATGTTAACAAATGTTTTGGGGAGACCCAATCTCAAATGGGAGATTACAGGATGGAGTTGGCCCCTAGGGGTAACACTGCAGCAAACATGAGTGGGATCATGAGTGAGATCTAAAGGTCTTCCCTCAAGGAAAAAACTATTTAGGGATAAGCTCTCTTCTGAGTACTCAGACTGTAATGATTGTTGGAACGAACATGTGATAATTTCCCAAATTAGCAGAGATGGTGGGATTTGAAAACTGCATACAGCTGCATAAGCTTCATGAGTACTCACTGGACAGTGCTTTTCTGTTGACAAGCAATACTGAATCTAATGTCTCTGCCATACTGCAACTCTGGGGTCAGTTTGCCGGCTAGACATTTATTCCAGGGAATATCCTTTTCTGTATTAACCCTCAACAAGAAATACTCAGTTTCAAAGTCTTCCTGAAGTGGAATGACTCATAAATGGGGGCTTCCGACATTGGGGGTGGCTGGTGCTTTGAGGATGTTCTTTCCATTTTTTAATTTTGTCTGTAGTTTTTTAATGTGTTTTATGGTTAGGGTTAGGTCTCCCCAATGCAAATTCTTCTGCGGATTAAGCACCATCTTGTTTCGTGTACTAGAGTACAAATCCCCTTTCAGAAAGGCTACCTGTTCCCGTTTAAATACAGAATGTCCTTCACACTGTTAGACTTTGCCTTGGGATTATCCTCCTAAAATTCAGGAATGGTACGCATTATAGTGATCATCCAAATAAAACCTTTGGACACAGGCCCAACTTGCTTGTTCATAAATTCATGAATCTCAGTGCAGAAAATTGGAAGTAGATTGCTGGCAGAAAAAGGCGACTTGAATGGATTAGCCAAGTTATTTGTGGCTTACCTGTATGGATAGCCATGGTATTTGGAGCGGAATATCGACAGCAGGAAGCTGAAGAAAAAAACGACCAGACCCAATCCTACTAGGCATATTACTGGAAGAAAAAAAATCTATATTTTAAATTCTTTCAAAAAGCTATTATATCCCGTTTTAGGTACAATGACATACAGGCATATTCTGAAATATATAAGGTTAGTTGGGTCATCTCTCATTGCCCTTCTTATATCATCAGTGGCAACACTATCATCTTTTAAGAAAAACAGATTTCCAGCAGATTAGCTTTTCTTGACAGTACAAATAAGAAGAAAATGGCTATTTAGGAGAAAAAGAGAACAGAAGGTAGCAACTCGGAAAGCATTCCATGATCCTGAAATGTTTCATGATTTCAGAGCACTGGGAAGGATAGAAAGTGAAAGCAAACCACAGCATTTTATTTGCCCATTGTCAACAGTCCTCCAATCTTCAGCACCCAGACCCTATGGCATACATAAAAAAAGGAAGCAGAAGAATTAGCCAGGACTTAATACATTAAGGGGTAAACTAGGGAACTTTATGAATGTTTTCTGAATATTAATTGCAACTTTGGGAGTTTGTGTATGAGGACTGGACCCCTTCACTTACCATTTCTGTTGGGAAAAAATCCAACTTTTTTTTTTTAATGTTTAATGTAATTTACAAAAGTGGGATTTGGATCCAGCTTGGACTGGCAACCTATTAAAGTCCCCTGATTTCCATAGCAAAAAGTTTCAGTCCTAACTGTCAACCTGCCCTCTCCCCCTTACTTACTTACACATGCCCCCATTTCATTTTAAAAGCACACTTCTGTCAACTGGTAATTGCGTTAAGGGCATTGTACTGGCCTGGTAAAATGATAATTACTTTAGCTTTAAAGTGAGCGATCATGCCACTTCATTAATAGAATTTAATTTTCCAAGAAAGGCTTTGATGATTTCTAAAGTCGTTATATTAACACTCACCTTCCTACTAGACTTTTGCTATTCTTGTCAATTCAGGAATCCCTGCTACAACTAATTTCTTTCCTCCTTCAAAGAGAAATCTCTGCTGTTAACTTATTGTGACATCTTAGAATTTTCTCAGGGGGAATGTAAAATAAAATCAAGAGAAGATCTGGTGACAGAAGGATACACTTGTCAATGGTTCTCATATGTACAATTACAAGAAAGATTTAAGGTATATAAAAGAACTTTTGGTTTTGAACATTGTAAGACTGAGTTTGAAACAGAATTTTGTACAAATGATGAACATGTTATTGCTAAAATGTATAAACCTTTATTGAAATTTTAAACAGAAGAAGAACAAGTGAAAGAATGTATGATAAAATGGGCTAAACACTTTGGTTACAACATATGAATGGAACAGTGGGAGAATATGTGGAGTAAAGGACTGAAATTTACATTATGTTATAATCTTTAAGGGAATTTTTATAAAATGATGTACTGTCGGTATATGTCACCGGAAAAATTGTCTAGAATGTACAAAGGTATTTTCAATTGATGCTGGAAATGTGAAAAATAAGAGGGGACTTTTTACCACGCTTGGTAGTCGTGTAAAAAAGCTAAACATTTTTGGATTCAACTACATACACTAATTCAGAAAATCTTAAAGATTAATATACAGTTGAAACCAGAGATGTGCCACTTGGGATTGATCGATAAATAATTGGAAAAAACCCATGGAACTTTGTTTTTATACATGATAACTGCAGCAAGACTATTATATACACAAAGATGGAAAGATTTTACATTACATAAAATGGAGGAATGGATGGTGAAGATGATGGATCTCGCTGAGATGGCCAAATTGACATATTTAATCTGAGAAGCCATTAACTAAGTTTAATGCTGACTGGAAACCCCTTGTAGACTTTTTGCACGAAACAGAAAAAAACAAAATTTTGATGATTAGAAAAAAACAATATATTATAGAAAAAAATGAAAATCATGCTGTAACCAGAGTAAGAGGCTAATTTACATTTATACTTATAACTGCTGTGAAAGAAAATCAGAAGTCACTTCTTTATGGTTTTTTTTGTCCTGTACTTTTGTCTTTGTCTTTTCTTTCTTTACGTCTTTTCTTTATTCTAAATATTCTAAATAAATTTTATCTTTCTTGTTTAAAATTTTAATAAAGTTATTTCTAAAAAAACAAAACAAAACCAAAAAAAACAGAGAGAAATCTCTCCCAACTCCCTTCTTAATTTTTGTACAGGCTGACTGGCATCCACCAAAGCAGTATCAACTTTCTGATTATTCTTTTTAACATTCTTTCTTATCCCTTCCTAGTTACAAAAATAGTTTATAAAATGACTGAAAGGAAGTTTAAATAATCAACTCAGAACGCAGCGCGTTTCAAAGAACTGGCTCTCTTTCGTGTTTTCACTTTTACTTATTACGATATGGAAAATGTCACTTCAGGTAGAAATTCAGTTTCAAGCATCCTCTTTGCATATAAGGGTGCCTTTTTCCTGAGATTTTACTTTACAAAAGATCTGTATCTGCTTCTTTAACGAGTGTTGATAGATAGATAGATAGATAGATAGATAGATAGATAGATAGATAGACAGACAGACAGACAGACAGACAGACAGACAGACAGATAGCTGTTACTTAAATGTAGATAAATGTTCCCACATTCATATGTGGAAGCTGTAAGAATTTGGTAGTTGGGAAAAAAGTCAGTGCAGACAGAGATCTATAGTTAGCCCTTTTCAAAAGGTAGCATATTATGGTGGCGTGTTTACTGCCGCTCCCTCCCATCCACCCACCATTTGAGGAAGGCCACTGCTAAGAAAAATAAAGGGTGGGTATTTGTATAACAAAGCTACAGCTAGTTCTAAATGCTCCATAAGAACAGCTCTTCATGCTGTGTCAAGCAGCTTAGGAAACAGAAGCAGGAATGTATTTCAAGTAGCTTGTAGATCTCTGCTTTTATATTGCTCTTATACTGCCAATGTATTCACATTTGCAAAGGCTGTGGTGAACACAGGCATGGCTTGTAATAAACGGTGTGTGTCCATGGCAGTCTGCCGTACTTGCACTTATATTTTAATGGCAAGAAAAGAACTTATCTATTTATCTGATAGCATCAAACTACTTACTTCTCCTTTTCCCAACATCTCCCTTGGAGGTAGCAGCTTCATTCAAAAGAACCATTCCCATGGTGATAGCAGCATCGATATCATTGTTGTCAAGGAAACTATAGAAATGTTGAAGTTTTACCAAGCCATCAGTACATCTTTAACCTTAGCAGGTATTAATTTTGCAGTTAAAAAAAAAATTAAAGCTGTTTATCAATGGTAAGTGTATGGAGAGCTCTAAGGAAAAGAGAAAATATTAAAACAGTGATAATTCCTATGTACAATATACATATTAATGCTATTTCCCCTCTAAGCTACATTTAGATTATTTCAGAGATTATCAAAATAGAGTAAAAATATGTATAAGCAATCCAAGTATGCTAATGATATTTCATTAAATTAGGTAAGTATATAAAGTCACTAAACCAGTGAGATGCTTAACAACTCATGTACTAGTTCTGGTAGTACAAAATGAATGTCTCCAGGAGACACATACAGGGTGCATAAAAATAATTACATTATTTCTCTGATTATCTGATGCATGCTAAGCCACTTAGATAGCATACAAAATGCAATTTCTTAACCAGAGTCTTCAAAATAGATAGGATCTACCCTCTGTGCTACAAGAATGGAATAACATCACTGCAACAGCAAGTGTTTTCAGTCACTAGCCTTTGTATCCTCTTAACTGCCAGCTTTTACAAATGCAAACAAGCTGATAATGCTAAAATAATTTTAACTAATTTGTAAAGATCCTAAGCTGTTCATATAATTGTTTGAAAATGTATCAACAAAAAAGGCAACTCTTACAACTCGAATTAACATCTGTTCCAGTCACCCAGCCTACAACAATGCAAGTGGGATGGATGCTTTGTGAAAGCTGTTATCTATAGCTTTTTAAAAACAAAACAAACAAACAAACAAAAAACCCACTGGTTTTAAAACTGATCATTTATGTATTTGCCAATAAATCAAAATTGTAACTCTTGTAAAAAGCTTAATTCAGTGTTGTCCAAACTTGGCCACTTTAAGATGAGTGGACTTCAACTCCCAGAAATTCCCCCCCTCCCCCCATCGGCGGGTGGGGTTTCGCGGCTTATACAACCCTTCATTCTAAAGCAGCAGATGTGTACAACATGAATGA